GGTCTTGAGCCAGTCTTTTTTTATGATGAGTTTTAATTTTTTTTATTGTCTAGTTGAGTGGACGAGCTCACAGCCCACCTGATGTTAAGTGCTAACTGGAGCCCATAGACATCTACAACGTAAATGCGCCAACCACCTTGAGATATAAAGTCTAAGGTCTCAGTATAGTTACAACGGCTGCCCCACCCTTCAAACCGAAACGCATACTGCTTCACGGCAGAAATAGGCAGGGTGGTGGTACCTACCCGTGCGGACTCACAAGAGGTCCTACCACCAGTAATAACCTCTAGTTTATTTCGGCGAATTTACGTATTATTTAGTAGTTGTTAAAATGGTACCTACTAATTTTTACAATACTATACTGTACTGTATTCGTATAGCCACATTCCACTTTCAAGCAATAGGACAGCGCAAGGACAATGCTAAATGCTAGTAATTAGTAAGTATTTCTCAAGCTAAGGCCGCGTGTGACCTACTGATATTTGTAAGACTACTCTCTGATGATGCGCCTATGTGATATTTGTTTACGACTCTAAATGTATGAAAATTACGTTGATTTTCCTTTGGTCCAAAGTATTTCTTGTAGTACTAGTGCGGGTATCACATAAGGGTGGTGGAACGTTTAGAGAAGCAGGTATGGTGGTTTACTGGTGGTAGGACCTCTTGTGAGTCCGCGCGGGTAGGTACCACCGCCCTGCCTATTTCTGCCGTGAAGCAGTAATGCGTTTCGGTTTGAAGGGTGAGGCAGCCGTTGTAACTATACTGAGATCTTAGAACTTACATCTCAAGGTGGGTGGCGCATTTACGTTGTAGATGTCCATGGGCTCCAGTAACCATTTAACAGCAGGTGGGCTGTGAGCTCGTCCACCCATCTAAGCAATAAAAAAAATATGATACCTTCCTTTCCCACTTTGGTCCCGGTCAGATAAGACCTCTAGCCTCTACACCGCCGAGTCGTCAGATTACCCGACTATGCGACCGGATAAGCGTGTACCCTAACACCGAAGTCCGGATCTCGAAGAACCGGTTAAGAAAATTACTCTACAAACAGTTTCGCACGCAGAACTAACCACACGTGCACGAAGTAAAAATATTAAAAAAATTTCTATAATGCATATAACGATCCTATAATTAACTTACACGCGAATAATTTTAAAATGCACTCTATGCAGCTACAAGCCTTTATTATTCTTAAGTTAATGTGAAAATTGTGGCTAGATCGCCTAGATGGCTGCTTCAATAATTGTTTCTTACAGCTAAGTTGACATACGTGTTTCTGCTCGTAAATTCAGCGCCTGTTTGAAACTAAGCGGCTAGTTGGAAACATTAGGCTTGCTTTTGCATGCTGATGAGCGGATGGACGAGCTCACAGCCCACTTGGTGTTAAATGGTTACCGGAGCCAAAAATATCAACAACGTAATTTTTAGTTTTATTTTTATTGCTTAGGTGGTTGGACGAGCTCACAGCCCACCTGGAGTTAAGTGGTTACTGGAGCCCATAGACATCTTTTTTTATTTTTTATTGCTTAGGTGGTTGGACGAACTCACAGCCCACCTGGTGTTAAGTGGTTACTGGAGCCCATAGACATCCACAACGTAAATGCGCCACCCACCTTGAGATACAAGTTCTAAGGTCTCAAGTATAGTAACGACGGCTGCCCCACCCTTCAAACCGAAACGCATTACTGCTTCACGGCAGAAATAGGCAGGGTGGTGGTACCCACCCGCGTGGACTCACAAGAGGTCCTACCACCAGTAATTACGAAAATTATAATTTTGCGGGTTTCATTTTAATTACACGATGTTATTCCTTCACCGTGGAAGTCAATCGTCAACATTTGTTAAGTACATATTTCATTGCTATGCTCGTCTTGGGACATGAGTTCCAAGTCCCAGTTTTCACAGTACAACGGCTGTCTCACTCTTCAAGCCGAAACGCATTACTGCCTCACGGCATAAATAGGCAGTGATACCTATCCGTGCGAGTTCATAAAACGCCCTAGCGTAAAAAACGTATTACCTACCTACGTAAACCTAGAGAGGGAGAGAGGGAGAGAGGGAGAGAGGGAGAGAGGGAGAGAGGGAGAGAGGGAGAGAGGGAGAGAAGGAGAGAGGGAGAGTATTTTTTATTGTAAACAAAATGAATAAGCAATGCGAAGTATTAAAATTACAAAGATTACAAAATGCAATTGGTAGTTTTTTTTATATTGCTTGTTGTATGATTGTAGGACCTCACAGCCCACCTGGCTGTTAAGTGGTTACTGGAGTCCATAGACATCTACAACGTACATGCGTCACCCACCTTTAAGAGCTAAGAGCGATCTCTTCCAGACAATAATCAGGTAGACAAGAATCATTTGGAAACGAATTAGACGCTGTATACTTATCGATAATCTACGTAATTTTTATTTTAAAAATTAGAATTAAAAAAAAACTGCATAATAATTTACATTCAACTCGGCAGTGTACTCATCTGTCCTCAAAAGCCATAACAAAAGGCTTCAAAGTTTCAATTGTACTCCTGTCGCCGATCATACTTCAACGCATTACTGCTGCGCCGCAGAAACGCGGTAAATATTCATGCGGACTTACAACACGCAACTTTATGTACATACATTATAAGTGGCGCAAGAGTTCGTAATTTATTGGTATCATTATAGATTTTTTTTAGCTAGGGGCGAGCGTGCAAAGTCGTGAGCAAAAACTAGTTATATTTATAACGCAACCAGAACGCTACGGATCGAAGGCAGCTGGTGGAACAGGTTAATGTCATGTCAAACTTTTTATGACCCCCGCCATTGACTAGGATAATGCACTGCGAATTGCCACGACTGATAAAGAATAACGTCGTGTGATAAAAATCTTTCTTTCTTAGTCTTAGTCGTATCCATCGCGGCTGATGATCGCGGTTGGTGGTCATCATTCCAGAACATTCTTGCAGTTCATTTCGCTGAATTGTAATCATAGAATAAGCGAAGTAAATTGTCCCTTCGAAATAAGGTGACACTCTATAAAACTTGCATACGCTCCGTCATGACCTATGCAAGTGTTCGCTCACGCGGCCCGCACCAACTTGAAACCCCTTCTAGTCATTCAATCCCGTTTTTGCAGGATAGCCGTCGAAGCACCATGGTTCCTAAGGAACGTGGATGTCCATGATGACCTGGAGCTTGACTCAGTCAGTAAGTATCTACAGTCGGCATCATTGCACCACTTTGAAAGGGCGGTACGATATGAACACTGGAGGCGGTACTGGAAATTACAAACCCGATCCTGCGGACCGAATGGTAAGCAGTCGACGTCGCCCAAAGCACGTCATTACGGATCCTTCCGATCCATTAATGGTGCTTTTAGGTACCACAAGCATCGGTCACCGTCGAGCCCGTCGACGAAGGGCTCGGCGAGTAAATTAGCCCATAGGCACAGCCTACTGAGTTTCTCGCCGGATCTTCTCAGTGGGTCGCGTTTCCGATCCGGTGGTAGATTCTGCGCAGGGCCAGTGTTGAGCTCCGTGAGCTCACCTACACGTTAGGATGAAGCTGAAATAGCCTTTAAGGCAATCAGCAAAGGTAGGAGGAAAAATTATTGATGTCTATCTCTAAATTGACCACTAACGATCAAATGGTCCGTTTGCTCGTTCGCCTTTAAAGTCAATCGGGACGCAAATCAAGGTCCTGTTTTGCAAACACTTTTAACAACAAGATAATTTAATTATAAAATCAATCTTTTCAGTTTGTACGACTTTGGCAGCTGTCAAAACTGTCAAAATTATTCGATTATCTGTCCCGATGGTATCGGACAAAATTATGTTTTGTTATTATCAGTATCAATCGGTCGTTTGATATTAAGTTGTAAAGATTTCGGTGAAATAAAATCGTTGTTAGGAAAAAAATATCCAATCGAGTTGAGCAGATGAGTTCACGGCCCACTTGGCGCTAAGTGGTAGCTTGAGAGGGCTGGCGAGATATAAGTCGGAGTGGCTCACTATTTTTACATATTACTGCATTAAATTCTTCGTGTAAAAGGCAATACAGCAGTATTTTAACATCATTAAGGCTTCCATCTCGTATTCAAAGGCGGTAATGATTTCTTCTTTAGACTTCGGTAAACTTACCATCAAGTCCACTATAAGCTCGTGTATCTAATCTATCTATACTAATATATGGTTTTTAGTATGGTTATTACGGATGTTCCGTTATAACTACTGAACCATGCATCCGATTGAATTGAAACTTGGTATCCATGAAGAAAATACATGCAATTAATGGATAGGCTAATATTTATATGAGCGTTGGACTCCCTACACCAATTGCGGGGGCGGTAATTATGAGAATCTTTGTGGGGGTGAGAAATAATAATGTTAATTTTAAATGCCCAGCGAAACGGACGGGTACAGCTAGTTATAAATAGAATAAAGATAGCATTTTTTTTGGTTATAGTATATTGAAGATAGATTACTTTTATGATATTCGTAATCTATATATTAATACGTGAAGCAAAAACTTTGTATCCTTTTTTACGAAAATTGCGCGGACGGAGGAGTATGACATTTTCCACACTTATAGAGAATATAGAGAAGAAGTGCACAATTCTAATATTTTTTGAAAATAATGCATAAAAGATACATTAAATCAATAAAGAAAACATTACACACACTACATACCACCATGTATTTGACGCACACAAATCTTTTTTTGTTCTTGACGTCTGTTGTCAAATTGAGAATAGATTAAATATTGTTTGTCTTTGTTAATATTTTTTATAGTGTAGTCTTGGCGAAATTTATGATTATAGAAGTATAAAATACAATCATAATAGTGTACAAACTTACAATTCCAATGAATTATAGTCGAATTTCGACTACTGCGGGACCACTAGTAATAGTAAAATTGTTAGGGCACAAAAAAAAAACAAAATTATTAATATTCATTTTAAAATAAATATTCATATTTTCTTTGAATCACGGCTCGCAAATGCTTTTACAATGTTTAATTACTCACCTAAACAATTAATGAATTAGCATACCTCTGCGTACTGCTCTGCGGAATGTATCTGTAAACAAAACGAAGAGGATCGGTAAATGTTTTGTATTTAATTGTGATTGTTTTAAAACACCTTAAAACGTAAACTTCGACATAAAATTTTCTATATTGAATTATACCATACTATTTCATCATTATCATGATCTCAGCCTGTCTACTGTCCACTGTTATAACTATGCTTGAGACCTTAGAACTTATTTTTCAAGGCGGGTGGCGCATTTACGTCGTAGATGTCTATGGGCTCCAGTAACCGCTTAACACCAGATGGGCTGTGATCTCGTCCACCCATCTAAGCAATAAAAAATATGTTATTTTTTGTACGTTATTACAAAGTTAAGTCACACACTGTGTNATCTCAGCCTGTCTACTGTCCACTGTTATAACTATGCTTGAGACCTTAGAACTTATTTTTCAAGGCGGGTGGCGCATTTACGTCGTAGATGTCTATGGGCTCCAGTAACCGCTTAACACCAGATGGGCTGTGATCTCGTCCACCCATCTAAGCAATAAAAAATATGTTATTTTTTGTACGTTATTACAAAGTTAAGTCACACACTGTGTGCATTACTAATTTGTACGTTATTACAAAGTTAAGTCGTACACTGTGTGCATTACTAATAAAAATCTTACGTTACGGACGTTTTTTCCCGGTTAGGGTACCCCACCGCATCGTCCAATAAGGAACTTTGTTCCAAAAAAAAAAACATAGTTCTTTCCAAGTGATGTCCAGTGCGGCCGGTCCGTTGCCCCCTGCGTCCAACATGACCCAGTAATTTTCACCAGGTCGTCGGTCCATCTGGTAGGTGGCCCTCCCACACTGCGCTTGCCAGTACGTGGTCTCCACTCGAGGACCTTTCTGCCCCATCGGCCGTCCGATCTTCGCGCTATGTGACCTGCACACTGCCACTTCGGCTTGCTAATCCTACGGGCTATGTCAGCAACTTTGGTTCTTCTACGGATCTCCTCATTTCTGATTCGATCTCGTAGAGAAATACCAAGCATAGCCCTCTCCATAGCTCGCTGCGCCACACTAAGCTTCCTAATAAGGAATCCATACAATTTGGGGCCGTGTTAACCTACAGTGCGTTTCCAGAGACCTTTCTTGCTACGTATTATGGTGCGGCTCTGGAATGAGCTCTCTCGAAGTCTACAACATGTCCTTCTTCAAACGTTATTTGAGTAGAGTCCTCAGCAGTAGGCAGCATCTTGGCTAAGTCCCTGACATTTCCCAAGTTCCTGAGCGACGGTAACTATTTGCCCTCAGGTGAGATGTAGGGAACTGGAATTCTTTGGACACATTGATCGAAAGGAGAGTCACAACTCGAACAGCTGACGGTGACAGGCCCCACGAGATGGTTGGACCAAATCCAAACTTCTTTGAACATCAAGTTCAATGATGATCTTGACGAAGCCAAGGATCGTAGCAGATGGAGGGAAATCGTACGTGAGGAAATGATACAGCGGGGGAGTCACGACCCTCAGTAATGAGGAAAGCGACGCAAGAAGGAGGAGAAAGCGGATTAGAATTAGTTAAAATATATTGAGATCGTTGGTATGATAAATTAAAAATAGAATGAAAGTGCGTGGTTTTAAGTGTATCTTTTTTGGCTCAGGTCTGACCACGCTGGACTACATTTTTACATAGCGGCTATTCGAGGTATCACTAATAGTAGCCCACAGCGAAGAGATCTCTTAGTGCGTGAGCATAGACGTGGCAGATATAGATTTTAGTGGCTTGGAGGCCTTTCCAGTTTCACGAGGACAAGTGGACGAGCAAAGGCTCAGCCAGGAGGAGTGGGATGGTCTAACGGCTGCCCGAGCACCTCCTGAGGAGACCTAACAACTCTAGGGCAGTTGCTTCGCGAATAGCGTCGCGTCAAAAGCGGCACCTAGCTCATAATTAAAATGTAATAAAGAGAACACTACTAAAACACTCATTATGCCGCCCCCCACCTTTAGATATGAATTCTAAGGTCTCAGTATAGTACAACGGCTGCCCTGCCCTACAAACCGAAACGCATTACTGCTTCACGGCAGAAATAGGCAGGGTGGTGGTACCTACCCGCATAGATAATACACATAAATTAGTTACCTACCCGTATGGACTCACAAGACGTCCTACCGCCAGAAAACATGCACAGCTCAAAATTTCACGGCACGTCGAATTAAATGTATATTTGCACATGTTTATTCTATAACATACATCGCTCGTAATCGACGGTCATTTAGGATTCAAGGTCCCGGAAAATTACGTGTTAACGCAATGCAATTTGCAAAAGTTTATTGACCCGTTTATATTATTTCGATCGCTCACATATGTTTTAATATAAAATGAACGAAGACACGGTAACGCTTCGATGCCCACCCTACGATAGAGGTTACAGGGAAAAATGAGCTTTAGTACTAGAAGAATAAAATCACGAACCGTTTGCTTAAAACTTCTGGTATGTTTTTTTTTAAGATTAAACCTAGTAGAAAAGGAATAAAGTCGAAAATAGTTTATAAAATGTAATTTTGAAGTTGCTTTACCGTAACGAAATATCATGCTTTATGAGATATATTTTTGCAAAAAAATTACTAAGTGTGCGTTGTTTTCTATAGAATACCCGTTTTTATGGCATTTTATTGGTCACACAAAATACACGCTGTGTTATATAGTTATGATATCACAAAAGCTTCTGACGACACAGAAGATTTTTTTTTCTTTTTTTATTGTTTAGATGGGTGGACGAGCTCACAGCCCACCTGGTTGGTGCTAAGTGGTTACTGGAGCCCATAGACATCTACAACGTAGGTAAATGCCGCCACCCACCTTGAGATGTAAGTTCTAAGGTCTCAAGTACAACGGCTGCCCCACCCTTCAAACCGAAACGCATTACTGCTTCACGGCAGAAATAGGCAGGGTGGTGGTACCTACCCGTACGGGTTCCACAGAGCGGCCTACCTATATTATAATTATTTTTTTCTTTATTTAGCTTTTAACTCAGCCAACCAATAAATACTTGCAAGCAAAAAAAAGCTGTTTAAAGAAGTCTATTGAAACGTCAAACCTTCGTCACCTTATGGAATGAGTGTGAAGTTAACCCTTAAGTAAAAATAACACAGAACATTTGTATGTGAATACGTCGCCACCCTTCCTTTTAAGGCTGGCGCACACTAGCGCGGACGTCCTGGCGTTCATTCGTCGTACATATCAATGGCCTTTTTTGATCTAGTCGCAGTAGGGTTGTCACCGTTTTCTTTTTTTAAATATATATATATATATATATATAAAATAAATATATATATAAAAATGAATTGCTGTTCGTTAGTCTCGCTAAAACTCGAGAACGGCTCGACCGATTTGGATAATTTTGGTCTTGAATTATTTGTGGAAGTCCAGAGAAGTTTTAAAAGGTAGATAGATAAATATGAAAATGTTCGGAATTAAGTCAAAATAACAATTTTGTTTTCCGTTTGATGTGTCCCCCGTCGGACGGATTCCTTTTGTTTGTTTTAAGTTTATTTTATGCAAAAGTTTAGGTATTTTATTTATCGATTGAGGCACTACGAAGTCTGCCGGCTCAGCTATTTTTTGTAAACTTCCCAGACGAACTTACGATCTGCTTGGTATTACACAGCTATTTAATTACAGTCGGCGTAAATACCGTCACCCACCATGTTCCGTAGGGTTGAAGCCCTGATTCGCGATTACTGATATACCTCTTTAGTCTAGCGCTCTAGAGACGTCCTTATGGATCCCTTAAAAAAATATTGGTTGTCTGTAAATCCGGCTTAGGGACGATAGTTTTACGTGATAACGTTATAAAGAAACATTGATGAAAAATTGCATACTTATAAAATTGTTATTATATTGATAAGAATTGAATTAAATTACTATCATGGAATTATCATTATTTTGTATACATTATTTTGTACAAAGAAGGTGTTAGGTGAAAATTACATTTTTTTTTATAAATTAATGTTTGGGCCACCGCTTATTCCGCGCTCTCGCTTGCATGCTCAACTCTCTTCTTTTTCTCCACGTTATCCCACTAGGTGGGGTCGGCACAGCTAATTCTTCTCTTCCATTCTTTTCTATCAGCCGTCATCTCAACACTCACTCATCTCTCTCTCATATCGTCATTCACACACTCCATCCATCTCTTCTTCGGTCGACCTCTTCCCCCTCTACCTTGCACTACCATTTCCATACATCTCCTAGCCACATGCATCTTCTCTCTACGCATCACATGACCAAACCACATGCTTGCAAGTACAACACTAGATTTATTAAAGTAGCAATAACAAACGCGAAATGAAACCGTTAAGGTTTTCATTCTCAATTAATTTTTTTATTACGAAAGGTGTCTATTGAATCAATCCATAAATGTATTACTTATGGCGTATCTTTTTACTAGCGGACATATCGTTTTCTCGCATTAAAACTGTATAATCTAAAAAACTTACTAATTTTACAGGAGAGTGTTTTAAAGGTTTGATATGACATGTGATCTTTTTAATATTAATCATCTTTGCAACAATTATTTTTAAATTTTTTACCAGTTACATTATCTGTCTTTTAAAGTAAGATAAAATTATGTATTAATTTTGTTAATAATAGCCAAAACATAAGTAAACTAAAAAAAAAAAACTAAACTACGCTCTTTTGACAGTATTTAGGAGAAAAATACTGATGATACCGAATGATTCCGCGTATTAACTCAATTTCGAATATTTTCGGAAATTGTACATTTTTAATGCGAAAAGACGGTATTTAAAAAAACACACACACATAAAAACCGGCTTCGGTAAAATGCGTCGCTCTCAACCCTGGACAACCGCTCGGAAACGCATAGAGACAACGACTGTAAATCTACAGGTTCATCCGTCGCATTGTACGTGAGCCTTAGCTTTTTGTGGCACATTGTTGCTTTGTGGAACTTATTTAGAAGCACCTCTACTTATAGAGCAACGCGTGATGGACAGAAGCGTGTGCGGTGAAAAAGTTGAGGAAAGAGAGAGGGAGAG